ATCTACTCCCAAATGAAGTGAAATAGAGTGATATTTCTGGGCTGAGTTTATTTTATGGCAGAACAGCTAATCTTTTAATATCATAATTCAATCTGACTGCTAATCAATACACGAGGCTGTTGACCCCTAATCAACATTGATCAAACTGAATGTAATGCAGTTTCCCTGCCCCCAGAGACATCCTTGCTAATGAATGTAAACATAGCTTTTAACAGGAGCTACAAGGCTGCTCTTTACTTTGGCCAATTAACTAATAAGACATCTAAACAGACGACCCAAAATGTTGCTTTTTGAGGACAACAGTGGTTAAAAAAAAAAGGAGAATTCTCCTGCTCGTCCATCCACCCACTTAGCGTAAATACTTAAAAAGGCACTCTGTAGAGGCTATCCATCTCTCTTTAGTGTGCTCACAATCTGTGCGACGTTGACGGATGGTGCATTGAACTTGGCTAGCCGGAGTGCCCATCAATCACTCCCTCCGTCCCATTGAGCCCTGCTAGTCTATCAACACCCCCACCGTCCATACCTAAAGCAGACAACGGGCTGACTGGAGTGCCTGACACCTAAGCCAGGGTAAACCCTGTGATCTGACGTGACCCAGTGAGGATTTCCAGCACAGCGTTGACGTAAATTGGCATCTTGGACACAATCCATTTACAGAAGCAGGTCTTGTAATTAGGTGAGGCTCTAAATGGGAAATAACAGAGTTCAAACTAACATGTGTAATCCAAACTACAGGCTCCAGTTAGTAGTGTGTTTTGGTGGTTAAGGAGTCCTTCAGGGCAGTAGTAGCCAACCTAGGGTCTGAGAGATAAATCTGGGTGGATTGAGAGGATGTATTTCAACTTATGTATATGTTTCATTTCTTAATTCATTAATCTTTCTTGTTAACTGGTGGATAGTTTAACCGCTTCCTTAAATGTTTTGGATTAAACTATTCAAGAAGGGGAATCAGTCTTTGGATGACCAGTATCACAATTCATGGACATATCAAATCTGATGTGCAGCTCCACACAAGCCATAATTTAGTTTACCTGAAATTGCTAAAGCAATAACTCACATGATAATGACTAATCTAGTGACTGCTTACATTTACCACCATTTAATCCTGTAGAGCTCAACAAAGAAAGCCCACAGCTTGAACAGCTCTGACCCTAGAAGTATATTTCCCATTTCTTGACTCCACTGATGTTTCAGAAAATACATATATAAAAAGCTGTAACTTAAGCCTGGCACAAAAAAATATTGGAAACCAGAAAAGGTACAAGCATGCGTACATGATTATCACAAGAGTGAAGAAACCACTAGTTCCATTAACAACCGGGAATGAATGAATTCCCCATGAGTGTGGCGGTGAAGAACCATAATACTTGATTATAATAAACGGAAATTTGTGATGCAGTTAGAATAAAATAGCTAGGTAACGTTATGCAAATATTATGTGAGTTAACAGCTGTATAGGATTAGCAGCTAGCTAGTAGGGCTGGGTTTTGTTTAGAAAAATTACGATACCAGTACTAGTACCAAATCCCTTCACTAGATACCAATACCAATAGAGTACTTCATTCAATACCTATAATATGAATGGAGGAGCGTGTAGTGTCACCACACCTTTGAACAGTTTGGTGGTATCTCATTTCATCAACTACACCATGCTCAACTTTACCACACCAGACTGTATGGGTTGTAGCTGCTGCTTGAGTGTGTGCCCCGCTCTGGGGATAGTTGTGAAAATCTGTCAGCCATACACAGTGACAGGGCTAACTATTAGCATCACACAGCTGACGTTACCTAGCGGTTATTAATGGGTTGAACGACAAAGTAGAGCCATTTCAGCATCAGTGTGAATTTGTTGGGACCATTTAACAGCACGGTGCTGGATGTTAGCTGCTGCTGCAGTGTTAGCTCATGCTAACCAGGTACATGTTAAACTGACTGTTCATGGGAGGAGTGTGACTCCAGAAATGGCAGCAACAGAAAGTTTTCTGATCCAGCAAGGAGTCGGGACGGTCCGGGTACACACTCCCAGTGCAAGAAAGTTTCACTGGGGACATTCTGATGCAACTTGGTTCTGGGCTATTTTGGTTGATATCTTACAACATATCATATACCAATACCTGGCCCTACTAGCTAGCTAACGTAAGCTAGTGGTTGCTCTGTGGTAAAAGTAATGTAAATGACTGTAGAGTTTCAGTGGTAGCATTACTTGCCATTCGTGGTTGTGTTAAACATTTCCATTGTAACTGTGAGCTTCACTAATCAGAGATGTCGCTGTTGCACTACACTGTGGGTAGCACAGTACTTCTTCATGACATTAAACATCGTAAAACAAGGTTGATATCACACAGACTTGTGGCTTCTACAGGAGCATATACCATCATTTCACAATCTCGTAGCTTGTGATGAGTCTATCTTTGATGATTGCAACATTACGGCTCATAATCAAAATCTCGATTCAGAATATGAATGGGAACTTAACTTCTGGAACGTCACCGCTGAGCTCTGTATGCAACTGCATTTGAGTGATGCATTGATCAATTGCATCAAATTCACACTCAATTTCACTACCCTACATAAAAACTATAACAAGTTACATGGAGTGAGGTATTCAGATTTTATATGTGGGAAAAAGAGAGACCTACTTTTACTTGATACTGACGAATACCTTGAGTTGTATCAATATCGAGAAGGAAAAACTTAGATTGGTGCATCCTTACTACATTTCACTTTTACATCAATGACAAAATCATCTCTCATATGTGGGTGTCTAATAGTCCAGGGAGTAGTGTCTGTATATAGTGTGATACAACACTAAACTCAGGGGTCGTGTGTGTCAATACAAGCATTTAAAAGCAAGATAAGACCTTATCTAAACCAAAATTGTTCCTTATGCTTTCCAGTTCACCGCACTGGTCACAACAGATAAACCACACAGTGTTCTGCCAACCATGCCCAAGTCCTCATCTGGTTAAAGGCTGTTCTGTGTTCTGAGATACAGGTGATGGAAAACAGGACACTCTCCAGAAACTCAGGCAGCGAGACAAAGTCCCCCACACAAACAACTCAGCTAACGAACTGACAAACAGGCACCGGGAGGTTGAGCTCCTCTCCATCCACTCCATCGGCGTGCCATCATCCACAGCCAGAGAATATCCCTTTCCTTCTGGCCAGCCTCGTGGGAAAGAGGCAGGAAATGTGGCTGGTTTTGGAGCTTTCCTCTTTATGTGTGTGTGTATCTGCTTATTAGTCATCAATGGGGGAAGCTCCAACATTTGTTCCTTTTCTTGCCGGCACATGACACACAGCCAGCCAGTCTCTTTTGGCTCCCGATACGCCACAAATTCTGGCCGCCAAGTTTTTTGGCAGCGCTCTTAATGTGGTTACGCAATGGCTTCCGTCATTTCAACACGAGCAAAAACAGATTATTGTATTCATAAACAGTTGCCGTGGAGATGCGCCCACACAGGCTGATTCAAGGGACTGAGGAACGGGATGTCTAACTTTTGTCTGAGACGGCCTATGGATTTCCACATTGATAAAAAAAAAAAAGTGACAGTCAAACAAAATCAGGTCTTTCTAGTTACCTCTACTTACATTTATCATACATGTTCTTGATACTAAAGAAAAAACTTTTTATTTCTTTCTCTGGATCGGAGCCTGACTTCCTGACTTGCTAATAACCATCTCAGCTGGCTTTATAATGCCAGATAAAGGGGTTAAACCTTATCATTTAATTAAAAGTACAAATAACTAGGTCACTCTGTCACTCCAAAACAGTACAGAACGATCTTGACACCAAAGCGTGGGATGTTCATGACAGTATCGGGTGTGGACTCAAGCATGCATGACTGAAATCTGACATTTTACGTTGCCATACATGCTCAGACAGAGAAATAACATTCTGTATTACACAACCGTGAATTTCCCAGTATGATTTTGACAGCCACCACCCACCCACACACAGCATGAATCACAAAAAGCATCTACAACCCCACTGGTCCACTTGTAATCTCAGTTATGAGAATACAGCATTATTAAAAACGAGAAAATAGGACAAAACACGTTCATGGGACTCATGTATGCCTGGTGCCTTTAAATAATCCCCCTGATCACCACTAGGAGTCCCCTACCATGTGCCTTCTCTGCCTGAAAGGGGGATTTAAATTTCTCAAGCTGTCAATCAAAAGGCCGACCATAACAAGCTCCTTGTTCTCTCCCATTTGCTTTCTGATAAAGTATACCACAAAAAAACACATCAAAATACAAATAAGCGTCAGCTGCATTCACATCTTAAAATCAGCATGTATTAAAACTGAATCCTAACTAATCAGGTGTAACAATAACCCACATATTTTGTCCAGACACACAGAAGTTATGCATGATATCTAGCTTGTGTGAAGAAGTTTAAAATGTTGGCTGCGGTTGCCATTACCTTGAGTAACCTAACTTAGTGAGCCACATAGCGAACCCGGAGCCTCACAGTGGTGTACAACGACTGGTTTAACTGGATCTTAATCTGTTAAATCTCAATAAAACCAACAGTGGATTCATGTCTGAAGTGACTGTAAAGAGCTGGCATACGTGCAGCGTCTCTGTGTCGCGTTGACCCCGCCAAGCTTTTGATTTCTCAGCTTGACTGACACAGCTCGGCAACCCTGAAAGATCCGCACATTTCAAACTATTTGCTATCAGCTATATTTTGGGCAATAACGTTTATTATCAACGTAGTAACGTAGAGCAGAGACCGGTGGTGTGTTTTAGGGTCACTGGCAGAACAATGGGGTGAATTAAAGCCATTTTCAGAGAGCGAAGCCCCACTTTCTTTGGCAAAGTCGTGTCAATAGACGGTTTAAAACCCCCGTCGCCCAGCGCTAGCGCTAGCAAGCTAAGTTAGCTACCAGTCAACAACGCTCACAGAGCCGTCGCCTTTCTTTAATAAACAACCAGTGTTTGTCGCTTCCGACGAGCCACACCTGTACAAGACATCATAGCCAACGTACCTGCCGTGAAACCAATCTTTACAGATGTCGCACTCGATCATAAACCGGCTCACATCGTAGGGCTGCCGGCAGACACAGTACAGCGGGGCCGCCGCCATCTTCCTACTGTCCCCAAACAACGCAGGAATGAAGCGGGCGGGGATTTAACCCACCGTCCGGAAACAGCCGAGGGGAGAGCCGAGCGCACACGAGGATGCTCCGTTCTAGGCAATCCCACCTCTGACGTCAGTTTCCAAATTATTCATTTCCATCTGGTTGTGTAGGCACACACCAACAATAGAAACAAACTTTTTTTTTGTTTCCAACAAAGGAATTACATAATGGTATTATTTTGGGCATTTTGTAAATATTACAATCTGATGATTCGGAGGCTAAATGAAGGAAATGTTATGTTCACAGTGTTCAGCTTTGTTGTTCTTGTTTTTGTGTATTCTGTGTTTGTACATTTAAAGAAACAAAAATATATGTGCACGCATTCTAGGACAATAAAGCTGATTCTGAAAAGGCTGAGCCTTGTGGGCCTCAGTGAGTAAACTGTAGCCTATGTAATATTCATTATCTCAACTTTATGTGAATATAAGGTGTATTTTCTTTCAACTTTTTGATATAAATTTTTCATTCATTTAACCAGTGTCAAACTGAGTACATTCAGTCCCCCCTGGCACCATACACCACCTCTGAAAAAGAAAAGAAAAGAAAAGAAAAGAAATAAAATAAAATAAAATAAAATTGAACTGAATCTAATTGAATTGAATTAAATTAAATCAAATTAAATTAAATCATCATTATTATTATAATTATTATTACTACTTAGTCAATGAAAAAATAATAATAAATAACAATTAAAAAATATATTATAAGAAGATATATTATATGCAAATCTTCTTGTTTTCGTTGTTTATTTTTAAAAAGTATTTATATTATTTTATTTTATTTATTTTTTATATGATTTTATTTTATTTTTTATCTTAACACTCAAAATCTTCACACAGAATATTCCAGTATAACTAATAACTAATAACATTAACTAATGTGCATTTCACTTTAATGGTCTCCACATACACCACACTTTTTTATGTTCATCATTATTTTTATTATTTTTTATCTTTTTAATTTATTCATATTTTATTTAATTTTGTTCTACTTTTTTCTTTTCTTTTCTTTTTATTTTATTCTATTTTATTTTACTTCTTTATTTTTATTTTATTTTGCTTTACTTTTTAATTTTATTTTTATTTATTTTATTTTTATCTTAAATTGTAATTCAAGACTCAAAATCTTCTTTACGTGAAATATTTCAGTATAATTAATGCTGACGCACAGGCATTTAAAAGTTTCAGTCTTATGTTATAATGAGGCCATAATAAACAATGTTTTAAAAATTCTCGTTTAACTCAACATACAGTGTTCAACTGAGGAGATAAAAATGAGCAAAAATACATAATAGGTTGTTAAGCCATGTGTAAAAAGTGTTTTAGCTGACTGAAACCAGCGTCAAGCACCTACATCCAAATATGCAGCATCAGCACTGACTTATCAGTCACCTAAAAGTGCAGCTGATGTGATGTAAAGAGAAAAAAAAACATAATTGTGTCACATAATCCAGAGCTGCTCTATCAGCAGAATATTTGCACAGTTGCAGAGTTTATCTTCCTTATGTTCTCACTCATCTACTCAGCAGAGTCCAAGTTCCTCTGATAATATTGTTAACCCATGGCAGACACTACCGCACAGCATAACCAAAAGGCAATATCCAGCCCTGGTATGTCTCTGTGGAACGTGTCTGACATGCCCTACGTGCTTGTGTGGAGAATAGCAATGGGACCACCGACCCACAGCTTGATCTGTGAGCTGACAGCACCCATCCCCCCACACGCCCATCTGTGCTGCTCTGCATAGGCAAGCAGGCTGGGTGCATGCAGAGACTCACGAGCACACACTGCATATAAGACACATGTGATTCACCCTGTTCATCTGCAGACCTGAATTGGGTTTTCTCTTTGGTGCATTCACAGCCTGCAGCTGAGTGTAAACATCTCCTTTGTGCTCAGGGTGATAATAGCAGCGTGCACCGGTTGGTTGTAGTCGATCATTATCATGCCTTCACATCAGGTTTTCTCTCTTGTCAATGGGAGCAGTGCAACTTCATGTCTGGTGTGCAGATCCACCACATGCCTTTAAACACCTGGAAGTTAATTATCCCTCATAAGTGGAGGTCAGTGCTTCCTTAAATGTGTTAGTGTCACTACTGATGAACAGCCATGCATCTGGTTGATTCAAACCAGTGTGAATATTAGTTGTATAAAAATTGGGCTTCAGATATGAACCATTTATTTGATCTAGCTCAGACAGACGGCACATCAGAGGGAGTCACAGCTCCCAGCATACCGACACAACACCACTTTATCCTGTTAAAACAATACTCACAACTTGGATTAATTTTATGGAAAACCCCTTTTGATTCTTTTGATCTGAGGATCCTTAAGGACTAAAGGAATATGGATAATTAAAGAATGGACACATAATTTGTGCTGCTACACCAGGCTAGGAAAAAGGACTGGGCGTTTAATTGTTTTACAGTATGTAATAACTGAAAGATTCTACTGTCTGAATAAATGATACCTGCAACGCAACATCAATGACTAACACTTCACTCACTCCAATTCACATTTTATATCAAAGAAGGGGACCAGAGGGTGTGTTCCAATTATCAGGGTATCACACTGCTCAGCCTCCCTGGAAAGGTTTACTCCAGGGTGCTGGAAAGGAGGCTCTGATCAATTGCCGAACCTTGGATTCAGGAGCAGCAATGCAGATTCAGTCCTGGCTGTGGAACAGTGGACCAACTCTTTACCCTTGCAAGGCTGCTGGAGGGATCGTGGGAGTTTGCCCATCCAGTCTACATGTGCTTTATGGACTTGGAGGCTTACAACCGCATCCCTCAGGAAACTTGTGGGGGGTACTACAGGATTACAGGGTACCAGTGTCACTGCTACGATCCATCCGGTCCCTGTATGACAAAAGTGAGAACTGCATCTGTATACTCTGCGTAGAGTCAAACACATTCTTAGTGGGTGTTGGCCTCCGTCAAGATTGTCCCTTGTCACCGATCCTGTTTGTGCCATTCATGGACGGGATCTCGAGGCGCAGCCAGGAGGAGGAAGGGGTCCGGTTTGGAGACCTCAGAATTGCATCTCTGCTTTTTGCAGATGATGTAGTTCTGTTGGCTCCATCACACCGTGACCTCCAGCATGCACTGGGGCGGTTTGCAGGGGAGTGTGAAGCGGTCGGGATGAGAGTCAGCACCTCCAAATCTGAGATCATGGTTCTCTGCCGGAAACCTTTGGATTGCCCTCTCCAGGTTCGGGGAGAGTTACTGCCTCAAGCAAGGGAGTTCAGGTATCTCAGGGTCTTGTTCATGAGTGAGGGTATATAGCGTAAGGAGGATCGGTGGTTTGGTGCGGCTTCTGCAGTGATGTGGGCACTGAACCTATGGTCATGAGCTCTGGGTAGTGACAGAAAAAACGAGATTGTGGATACAAGCAGCCGAAATGAGATCCCTCCATGGTGTGGCTGGGCTCAGCCATAGAGATAGGGTGAGGAGCTCGGACATCTGGAGGGAGCTCGGAGTAGAGCCGCTGCTCCTTCGCATTGAAAGGGGTCAGTTGAGGTGGTTCGGGCATCTGATCAGGATGCCTCAGAGTGTAATAAAATTAAAGCCGTAACATATACAGTACAGGCCAAAAGTTTGGACACACCTTCTCATTCAATGCATTTTCTTTATTTTCATGACTATTTACATTGTAGATTCTCACTGAAGGCATCAAAACTATGAATGAACACATGTGGAGTTATGTACTTAACAAAAAAAGGTGAAATAACTGAAAACATGTTTTATATTCTAGTTTCTTCAAAATAGCCACCCTTTGCTCTGATTACTGCTTTGCACACTCTTGGCATTCTCTCCATGAGCTTCAAGAGGTAGTCATCTGAAATGGTTTCCACTTCACAGGTGTGCCTTATCAGGGTTAATTAGTGGAATTTCTTGCTTTATCAATGGGGTTGGGACCATCAGTTGTGTTGTGCAGAAGTCAGGTTAATACACAGCCGACAGCGTATTGGACAACTGTTAAAATTCATATTATGGCAAGAACCAATCAGCTAACTAAAGAAAAACAAGTGGCCATCATTACTTTAAGAAATGAAGGTCAGTCAGTCCGGAAAATTGCAAAAACTTTAAATGTGTCCCCAAGTGGAGTCGCAAAAACCATCAAGCGCTACAATGAAACTGGCACACATGAGGACCGACCCAGGAAAGGAAGACCAAGAGTCACCTCTGCTTCTGAGGATAAGTTCATCCGAGTCACCAGCCTCAGAAATCGCAAGTTAACAGCAGCTCAGATCAGAGACCAGATGAATGCCACACAGAGTTCTAGCAGCAGACCCATCTCTAGAACAACTGTTAAGAGGAGACTGCGCGAATCAGGCCTTCATGGTCAAATAGCTGCTAGGAAACCACTGCTAAGGAGAGGCAACAAGCAGAAGAGATTTGTTTGGGCCAAGAAACACAAGGAATGGACATTAGACCAGTGGAAATCTGTGCTTTGGTCTGATGAGTCCAAATTTGAGATCTTTGGTTCCAACCGCCGTGTCTTTGTGAGACGCAGAAAAGGTGAACGGATGGATTCCACATGCCTGGTTCCCACTGTGAAGCATGGAGGAGGAGGTGTGATGGTGTGGGGGTGTTTTGCTGGTGACACTGTTGGGGATTTATTCAAAATTGAAGGCACACTGAACCAGCATGGCTACCACAGCATCCTGCAGCGACATGCCATCCCATCCGGTTTGCGTTTAGATGGAAGATCATTTATTTTTCAACAGGACAATGACCCCAAACACACCTCCAGGCTGTGTAAGGGCTATTTGACCAAGAAGGAGAGTGATGGAGTGCTGCGGCAGATGACCTGGCCTCCACAGTCACCGGACCTGAACCCAATCGAGATGGTTTGGGGTGAGCTGGACCGCAGAGTGAAGGCAAAGGGGCCAACAAGTGCTAAACACCTCTGGGAACTCCTTCAAGACTGTTGGAAAACCATTTCAGGTGACTACCTCTTGAAGCTCATGGAGAGAATGCCAAGAGTGTGCAAAGTAGTAATCAGAGCAAAGGGTGGCTATTTTGAAGAAACTAGAATATAAAACATGTTTTCAGTTATTTCACCTTTTTTTGTTAAGTACATAACTCCACATGTGTTCATTCATAGTTTTGATGCCTTCAGTGAGAATCTACAATGTAAATAGTCATGAAAATAAAGAAAAAGCATTGAATGAGAAGGTGTGTCCAAACTTTTGGCCTGTACTGTATTCAAAAAAGAAAGAAAACTAACTGTACTTTGAAAATACAGAAAGTGAAAGTGAGCTGTGTAATCTGAACAAAATTCTGCTGTGTTGGCTGCTGTGGGTTTCTCTGCAAACAGAGACCATAACTATACATATTAACACCCTTCTTGTCTGCCTTTATTCACACTAATCAGTCAGGTTGTTTCAAAACTGCACAGCTCGTTAAAAATATCAAATACCCGAAAGGCACTAGTGATATGAAAGCATTTCTTTTAGGGATGTCCCGATCACACTTTTTCTAGTATCCGATCCGATACTGAGTGCTTTATTTTGAAACCGAGTCCAATACTGAGTCCTTTATTTTGAAACCGAGTCTGATACTGAGTCCTTTATTTTGAAACCGAGTCCAATACTGAGTCCTTTATTTTGAAACCGAGTCTGATACTGAGTCCAATCCGATACTTTGCAAAGCATTAAGAAAAAAAAATGCAATCAAGTTGTCCCATAAGATTTGTTTTTTTATTTAAATATCCAAAAAGCTAATCTGTGGTTCAGCAGCACAAACTGTAAACAAATTCAATATCTTCTTGTCTTCAACAAACAAAATAGGCCTATGTCTTTATACACTGGAAAGCAGAGGCAACAATGAACAACATAGATGAAAAACCTGGCCATTTTTGTTGTTTTGATTCCTCCGATCTTTTATTACAGATTCCGATTTTGTAAAAATTATGTGATCGGAGCCGATACCCGATCCAAGGATCTGCCAAGTCAGTCTGCAGCCAACCTCGACACAGAAGTGGACAAGGTACACCACAATTTTTCTCCTTTCCTTTCATTTCATTTCATCCTATGTTATTTCATTTAATTTTTCATGTCATTTTTTCATTTCATTTTATTTTATTTTATTTTATTTTATTTTATTTTTACAGCCCCTTGAGCTGTAGGAAGATCTGCCACTGCATCACCAACATGACGACCCTCCCAAAATGTTATCTTAAATTGTATTTCCAGACTCAAAACCTTCACACAAAATATTCCAATATTAACTAATATGTATTAATGAATATACATTGAGGCACAGGCATTTATAAGTCTATTCTATGATAGTATAGACGTTTGTATTTATTTATTTTTTACATATTAGTCTTTTACATTGCAATTAAATACGTTTTGACAGCATTTCGTTGTATATGGAATGTTGTCTGGTTTTACATTTTTTGGTTTATATTATATCATGCTATAATCTCTAACTACTTTACATGAGTCTACATGAAGGCGGTACGCTTTTAATATTAAATTAAAGCGCCACCTCCTGGCTGAATACCAACATTGTCCCCTGCGCGTTCACGGCTTGCGGTGCGCGCACGCTGCGCACTCGCTGACGTCACGCGTTACCCAAACAAGACGGACGCGTGCCCGCCCCCTGTGTGTGTGTGTCAGCAGCACCATGGATGTGTTTTGGTGCACTGGTATTCGGACATCATTGATACAGCAGCAGTGAGTAACTGAGCAGTGATGGAGCCTCTGCCGACACCTGACATCTGAGTACATGACAACAGGTGAGATTAGTATACAGTAATAAAGCTGTGCTGCTTTACGGAGGCAGGTGACAGTCGGTCCATTGATATCTTTATTTATTTCAGAGGCTACAGTGTTGGACTTTGCAGCATCATCTCTGTATCGACTGTGTAGTAACAGTATTGCAGAGCTTGTGCAGACATGTAAAGTGTATTAATATGTTATATAAGGGTATTTACAGTGGTTATGTTGAGTGCATGCTATATTCAACATGTCTGCTGATACACAACATTGCTCAGATATATATAATATATAAAGAGATCAATGTTAAAATCATTAGTGTGATATATGGGTGCGACTTTAATAACAACCTAATGTGTGTGATTATCACATTTTTAATGGACATAAAATAAATGTGTTTAAATTAAGTAAATAAATTATAATGAAAACAGAATAATATTTATTATTATTATTTTAACAG